TCTTGACCCGTCCCTGCGGGATAGGGAGAAGAAGTTTGTGACCTTGTTGTTTCTTCCCGAGGCAAAAAGATCCACGTCCGGGGATCCCCATCTCCGCACAAACTCCTGAAAGACCTCAGGGTTCAAGGCCCATTCTGCCTCCCTGAGCTGTGTCCTGCTCAGGAAATCTGCCCAGGACAACAGCATAGCCGCTAACGCTCCGAGGGCCTTGCTCCTCGTTCTGCCTGCCAGTTTATATAAGCCACCGCCGTGGCATTGTCCGTTAGGACTCGCACATGCTTGCCCGTGACCCTCAATTGGAAGGCGTGCAGAGCCTCCCCCACTGCCCTCAACTCCCTCCAATTTGAGGATTCGCCCTTCTGCGCTAAGGACCATTCCCCCTGAGCCACTAAGCCTCCCAGGTGGGCTCCCCACCCCCAGGAGCTGGCATCCGTCGTGACCTCACTCGACACTGGAAAGCACCACAGCAACCCCTGGGCTATGCTGGACGATCTCCACCACCACAGGGACCTCTTCACACTGGGGGGAACCAGGACCCGGTCCTCTGAGTGAGCCCTCCTGTCCCAAACTCTCAGGACCCACAGCTGAGGGGAGGGGACGCATATGCAAACATGCCCACTGTACTGCTGGAATAGAAGCGGTTAGTAATCCCAGTACAGACATGGCTTGCCTTATGGATATCGACCTGCTCCCCTGCACCAATCTGATCCCGCCTCCAACTTGGCAACCTTCTCCAAAGTCAGACTGGTCTTCTGACTCACCGAATACAGAGTGTAACCTAAGTATACTACTCTGAGAAGGCACCAGACAGGACTTCTCTAGATTCAAAATCCACCCCAGGTTCTCCAGATGGCCCCTCAATACCACCAGATTCTGCCGAAGGTGAGCCTCTGAATCTGCGAAGAGTAGCAAGTCGTCCAGATAGGCTATCACCGAAATCCCCTTCATGCGAATAGGAATCAGTGCCTCCGTCAGAACCTTGGTAAAAATTCTTGGCGAGGAGGAAAGCCCGAATGGAAGTGCCCTGAACTGCCAATGTCGAACTCCTCCCTCTCCGCCTACTGCCAACCTGAAGAACCGCTGAGAAGGTTCCGCAACAGGCACGTGCAGATAGGCGTCCTTCAAATCTACAGACGCCATGAAAGCACCTGGCGGAATCAGGGACCTGACTGTAAAGATGGAGTCCATGCTTAATCTCCGGTAGCGTACTGACCTGTTCAGGGGTTTCAGGTTCAAAATCAGCCTGAACGCCCCAGACTGCTTTTGAACCAACACCACATGGGAATAAATCCCCTTCCCTCGCTCCCTTATCGGGACCCTGGTGATGACTCTCTGGTCCTCGAGATCCTCCAAGGCGTCCACCAGGGCAGCGGCCTTCGCCGGATCCCTTGGACGGGCCGTCACAAGGAACTTCTCGGGTGCTGGGCCTGCAAACTCCAACCGATAACCCCTTCTGATGACATCCAAAATGAAGGGGCTGGCGACCACCGCTTCCCACTGCGGGAGGAAGGCCGCCAGTCTTCCTCCCACAGGAGGAACCGAGTCACCGCGGTTTCTGGGGCTGCTCAGGAGGGCAAAAAAATCACCCTCCCCCGCCTCTCTGGCCTGCAGACCTACCCTGACCCACTGGCCTCAGGCTCAGTCTCTTCGCCGGGCGGGCCTTACGTGTCCCTCCCTCCTGCAACTTCCTCTTGAGGGGGGGGGAAGGACTTCTTCCTGTCAGCTGTCTGGTCCAACAATTCCTCCAACCCTGGGCCGAAAAGACAGTCTCCTGTGAGGGGGATGCCGCACAATCTAACTTTTGAAGTGATGTCCCCCTGCCACGTTTTTAACCACAGCGCCCTTCTAGCCGAATTGGTAAGAGCAGCTGACCTAGCCCCCAACCTCACCGACTCCGCAGAAGCGTCCGCGATATATCCGATCCCTTGCAAAAGGGTCTCAAAGGAGGCCAAGATTTTTTCCCTGGGAGAGTACCACAATATATGGGCCTGCAATTATGTAAGCCAGTATTCCAAGTTTCTAGCTACCACGGTCGCGGCCATGGCCGGCTTCAGATTGTAAAGGGTCCTTCAGGTTGTAAAGGGTCCTCATTAACGGAAACCTCCTTAACGCCTTCGAGAAGAACGGCTTCCTTTCCGGATCCTGCCACTCCTTCCTAATAGTCTCCACCAAAATGTCATGCACAGGAAATATTCTGTGCTTTTGCTCCTCCAAACCCCGATACATTTGGTCATGGAGAGATAAGGTCTTAACCTCCTCAATGTTCAGGGTCTCATATATAGCCTCCAGGAGCTCATCCACCTCCTCTAGGGTTAATTTATACCGGGAGGGACCCCTGCCTTCCTCAGAGGGACCTTCCCCCGCAGATTCCTCTTCAGACTGGGAATCCCTCAATGGCCCTTCCTCCTCTCCAGACACGTGGGGTTCCCTGCTCCTACCTACCGAGGCTATCGGGGGGGAAGGGGGGGGTACAGGCTGGGGAAGGGCAAACCGTTCCATGAGGGATTTGAAGGAGTCGAAGGTGCTAGCCAAGTCCTTCACCGACCTGGCTAAGTCCCCCTGTTCCGGCCTCTCCTCCTTCACTAACCCCAGGATGGGCATCTCCGTCTAGGCTCCTGGTGCTTAAGCTTAGCCCGAGCCTTGCCCTGAAAGACACAAAGAAGTTGCAGGAGGGAAGCCTGACAAACCTAACCTCACACCAAGTTTGCCCCCCCCCTCCTTCCCGGCAGAGCCTAAGGGCCTGCTCCCACTGCAGACCCCCTGCCCTACCCCTTACACACCCCATTACCTGAGGGTCCGGGAATACCCCTTGAGCTAGGGGTCAACAGGTAGGGGAGGCCTCCACTGAGGCACCTTACCTGTGTCTGGCTGGTGCTGGCATCTCCTGGTCCCGGTGCCTCCGACATCCTGCTCAGGAGGGGGCGGTTGCCTGGTGCTAGCCTGTCCCCCAGGCAGCTGTGCACCGCTATTTAAATCTTGCGCCGCCGTGTGTGTGAGGGCCGCGACCGGAAGTTGCAGCCCTGGGCGAAGCCCCACCCCTCTTGTCGGAAATCGCCATCTCCCGACGTCCAGCCCGGCAAAGTCACCTGACCGCTAGCATGGGGAGGAGCGAGACTCCATCCCGATCCTCCCCAGATCTCACCACAGCCTCCCCAACTCGCTGGAGGGGGTCGGGGGGCAAAGAGCAGGTACATGCCTTCCCCGTCACCCAGGGTGCGCGCCCACTGCACCGCAGCCTGCCCAGGGAGGATATGCAGCCGGACACTTCGACCTTCACTCCCGGCTGCGTCGAGCCTCTGTCGGCTATCCAGCCCTCGGCTCCCCTGCCGTCTGTGCGATAGCCGGAGGAAACACCTGAATGGAGGTCGGAGGGGAGCTTTTTTTATTTTAGGGTGGTGGTGTTTCCTCAGAGGGGGAGGAGCCGAGGTCTCAAGGTGCTGGCCTGAAAGACGTAAAAGGGGAGGGAAAAAAAAAAAAAAAAAAAAAAAAAAAAAAAAAAAAAGTGTAGTAACTGTGGAAGATGGACCGGTTGGAAGAGTAGAAGATTCCATTATTAGCTGAGGGCAGGATAGGCTTCCTTGGAGATAGGTTTTCAGAGACCACCTAAAAGTGAGCAGAGTAGGTGATCGTCTGATAAATTGGGGTAGAGAGTTCCAGAGGATAGGGGTAGCTCTGGAAAAGTCCTGGAAGGAGGAGACAAGGGAGCTAGACAGCAGGAGGTCGTACGAGGAGCAGAGAGTACAGTTTGGGTGATATTTAGAGACAAGATCGGTGATGTCATTTGGGGCAGAGTTATAAATGGCTTTATACGTTGTTAATTTTTTGAATTTTATCCGTTGGGCAATGGGAAGCCAGTGGAGGGATTATCAGAGAGGGGTGGCAGATACAGAACGGTTAGTAAGGTGGATAAGTCTGGCAGCAGCATTCATGATAGACTGAAGAGGGGATAGCCTGCGATGAGGCCGGCCAATGAGGGAGTTGCAATAGTCAAGATGAGATAACAAGGGAGTGAATAAGTTGCTTAGTGGTTTCCGAGGTTAGGAACGGGCGTATCTTGGAGATGTTGGAGGTGAAGTCTACAAGATTTGGACAATGATGGATTTGGGGGTGAAAGGACAGATGGGAGTCTAGGATTACACCTAGTACCCTGGCATGAGGGGAAGGACTGATTATTGTGTTTGATTTTGGAGAAGTCAGGGAGAGGGGGCACAGGCAGGGGGGATTACTAAGAGCTCAGTTTTGGAAAGATTGAGTTTGAGGAAGTGGAGTGACATCCATGCCGATATGTTACTTAGTAGGTTAGTAATGCATGCAAGAGGAGACTGAAGGGGTGAGGCGAGGGGTAGAGAGATGTGTGTCATCAGCATAGAGAGTACTTAAAGCCATGGGAGTTTATCAAGTGACCAAGGGAGGAGGTGTAAATGGAGAAGAGAAAGGGTCCAAAGACAGAACCTTGAGGGACCCCTACAGAAAGAGGGAGTGAAGAGGAGGAGGCAGTGTTCTAGGCAATGCTGAAGGAGCACTGCGATAGGTAAGAGGAGAACCAGGAGAGCAGAGTGAGACCAAGAGAGTGGAGTTTGAGGGGATGGTCAACCATATCAAAAGCCTCAGAGGAGGTCAAGTAGTAAGAGTACAGAGTAGTGACCATTGGTTTTAGCTGTTAGTAGATTAGCGAGTTGCATGCACAGCTGTATATAGCAGGAGGACCTGATTTTTTTTTTTTCTTCTAATGCAGTTCAGTATCCCCCCGCCAAAGACCAGGCAGTAAAAGGAGGAGCAGCAGATTTGTGAGATGTTATGCATCAAGTCTGCACACTCCTCCTATCAGCATGTTCCTTGTTAGCACATCAGCACTTTAGCTTATATGATTGGCTTTTCGGATTGCCTTCCCCTACAGTCTGAGCTGTGCTACATAGGGGATTATGAGAAGCTCATACCAAGTAGAACTAAGACACCAACACAGCTTGCTTTTGTAACATACTGTGGAAACTGTTGACACTCTAAAATTCTGCATGCATATTAATTATATTAATGGAAATTAAAGCATAGGAAATAATCTTACTGTAGTCAGTGGGGTAGAAGCACCATTTGTCCCCGGGAATGGAGGAGTTGAAGCAGCATCCTCTGGAATGGCATTCTTCGGAACCAATTCCTGGATATCCACAGTCTGTTCTAGTTCCTTGATATCCACAGCCTGTCCTGTCAGCTGGCCTCACCAAGCTTTGATCATATGGCCTCACCAAGCTTTGATCATCATCTATGAAGAATAATTGATAATATTGTATTTGAAATGGCAATTCATGTTAACTGGCTGCACAGAAAAGTTTTCAGAGCCTTTGGGGGGTACTAATTTTTATACACATTCTTGACTTAAAGGGTAAGTGCACTTTCAGATATGGTGAGCCTAGTCGTTTTACCCCCATTGCCCTGACCTACAGGATTCCACCCTTCCCCTTCACAGATCATAGAGATCCGGATGTTTTACAATCAGCTGTGAAGGCTCCCTCTCCTGGCTGTGCATGCACATGAAGTCCATGAGGCTGTAATTGGGACCCATCCTGGCTGGGAGCTGAAGGTAAAAAAGCCACAGAGGAATCTAGGGGGCTATAATGTACATACGTGGCTAGGAGAGAAGCCTTTCACCTATGGAGGTAAACAATTGAAGCCACAGTTCTTGGATCTAGGCATGTATACATGTGTGTGGGGTGGGGGGGGGGGGGGGGGGGGGGGGGGAGGTTAAGCCTTAAGACTATCAGAGGTAAATCTATAGCTCTTTTCAGAATGGGCTGCCTTAACGTGACACATGTCAACCACATGTGAACACACCACAAAGTAGATGGGCCCTTAGTCTAAAGGATTTTATTGGCTATGTGATGCAATAACTTACCGAGTTGTTTTGGGAAGAAGCACCATTTAACCCTGCGAATAGTGGAGTTAAAGCAGCATCCTCTGGAATGGCACTCGCTGGCATTAATTCGGGTATCCGCAATCGGTTCTTTTGGCTGGACTCACTGCACACTGAGCCTCATCTGAAACGGTAAAAAAAGCATTTTTTATGATGCCATGGTGTGGTTTAAAGGGGGGATCCACAAAAAAAAAATTAGGAAATTCCTTGTCATGTTGCCGAGCAGGGAACGACCCTTCGTTCAGCTGAAAAAGCTAGTTTGCTGATCTGCTGGTTTCAACATTACACAAGTCACTGGCCTAGAATAAGTAGATGAGGAGTTCTGTCCTTAAAAAAATATCTGAACCCCAAAATAAGTATTGTGTCCTTAGTTGTAGTGGCTGCATTAATTTTTGTTTCAGGGTTTCTTTTCAACTGGTAATCCTGCAAATAGCCCATTTCCTGGCTCTTTGTGGCTATGCTTACTACTCCACTGTATCTATAGGGTAAGGGCATAAAGGTGCTCAATGTAATTCTTTGGCTACTAGATGGCTCCAGAGTCATTGTAATGGGTTAGGTACAGGACCATTTGGACTAACAGGCAGTGTTAGTGCCATCGGAGCCAGTAGAGCTCCCCATAGGTAGGATGCCAGTTAAGGAAGTACATGGTGTTAATGTCAACCTTGCATCTACAGTTAGAGAGCAGCCCATACTTTACAGGGGTTGTCCTGAGTACTGCATCCCTAGTCAGGGATGTACATAGCCCATAAAGTTTAGCCTGCCCCAAGTCAGTGGTCTTTAAACTGTCAGATATGGCCCTTTGCTCACCGTTATCCAGCCATTGGGGCACTATTCCTCCCCCTGACACAAACAATGGGGCACTTCTCCCACTAATGCCAAGGAACAGGCGATCTTCCCACTGATACCAAAGAAGAAACACTATTCCTGCTACTAGTACCAATGACAAGACACTATTCCTACCACTAATAATGGGGCACTATTCCTCCCCACTGATACCAACAGGTTGGGCACTTCCTCCCACTGACCACAGTATTTTTTTTTTTTATTCCCACTGACCAAGCCTAAGGCATTTTCTACTCCCACTGGCCACAGCCCACCTATAGTCTGAAGGACTGTAAATTGGCTTTGTTTAGAAGGCCCTTGCTCTACTTTACTTTCTATTGAAGGAGATTAAGGAACAGACCAAAATGTTTTAGCAATAACAGCAAAGATAGTTCACGATATTATTCTGTGGCAGATTCCGGTAATGTTTGTTCTGTGGTAGTACTCACTGTCAGAGTTAGTGTAGTAGCACCAGTTCACCCCCCGTACACTGGTATTGAAGCAGCAGCACCCTCTCTTGGCACAGTCTGAAGAGCTTATTCCAGGGTATCCACAGTTTCTTTCTCATATGGAGAGCCGTCACACTCATTCGGTGCTATTATATCTAAAACCACAATAGGAAGAATTGTGCAAGTATTTCAGTACTAAATATTCCATACAAGTAAAGCTCCACACTTCCTATGTGCACTTCTCAATCATCTGCGATGGAGACATCTAGGGAGTCCAGTTATGTGTTTTGAAGAATATTGTATCAAAGGCAACAAAGCTAATAAAGGGGTTGGAGGGCATCAGTTATGAGGAACAACTACAGAAATTAAGGTGCATCCTTGGTAGGAGGAAAAAAAAAAAAAAAAAAAAAAAAAAAAAAAAAAAAAAAAACACACAAAATACACAGAGGTCTTGCTATTCCATAGCCCAATTACATCTGTAAAGGACACACGATATGTTGGTAAAGTAAAGTACACATCCCTGCCACAACCCCAGTTACACTGACTACAAAGATCTCATGTGCAGAAAATGACTGGCAAAGCCGCCAGGGGTCACTAAACTTTCTAAACAAAAGGCCAGTTTATGATTGTTCAGACTTTAGGGGGATTGGACTGTGGCTAGTGGAAGTAGAAAATGCCCCAGCATCAGTAAATGTGTCAGGCTTGGTGGCAAAGTGTTTGTGGTCAGTGGGAGGGGAATCATGTCCATCATTGGTATTATAGTGGTAGAAAATGTCCCATCGTACGCATTCGTGGGAATAACAGTGCCCCATCATAGGGGTCAGTGGGAGGAATGGTGTCTTGTACCAGTAGGAATTAGTGCTTCAAGAGCCAAATAAAGGCTTGCAAGAGCTGAAGTTTGGGGGAGCACTGGACTAAACCACACAAGTACTTTAACCTCTATTTTCCCTTATAATTGGCTTATACAAAACAAATGAAATACAGTGTTTGGATAAAAGTTTAGAGCAGCATAACAGTTAGTAAAATATATTTTGTATAGAGATACAATTTAGGGTCAAAAATGACAACTGAGGGTGCCAGAAGGACAGCGGGATTTGGTCTCAAATGAGGGACAATTGGGGGCTTTGCAATTAAAAACAAAATGTTTTAGTTTTTCCAAATCAAGAGATTTAATTCCATCAATGCTTTGCTGCAAAAAAGTGAGGTTCTGCAGTGTTGGAGCAAATAACATTCAGTATGTTGGTTATTATTCAAACATGTGACATGGACCTTAGACTAATCAGCCTCATTTCTGTATGCTTTTTTAACTTAGGAGGTGAAATTACTTACATAAGTCTTCCTCACCACTTCCATTTTCAGTAGCCAAACTCGGAAGTCCTAGAAATGTGGCAGTCACCAGAAGGAGCCATAGCTTGGGCGTCATGATGGTGCTTTTATCTGGTTTAGTGACAGGACAGACAGCAACTGACTTTTCCAGTTATATACATTTATAGTGTTTGCAGACAATGCGTAGGGTCAATATCAAAGCAGAAAATATTTCATAAACCATGCAATTTATCCAACACAGAGCAGTGCTTTTTTCTCTTGTGTTGCTAGAATCCCAACACAGGACAGATAGTCGTTTCTATAGGGTGTATTGTACAGTTATATTTCAGCAAATAATTACTATTGAATAAAGACATGTATAGCATATTGGTAGGTACACCTTAATAGGTCATCAGTAGATAAGGATCATGTAACTGGCAACTAATACTGAAATAATGCAATTTGTTTGGTACTCTGGGGTGGACCTGTAAACCTAGAAATATAAGTGCTGCCATTGTTGACTTGTTTCTAAAGCTGTAGACTGCAGGATATCACTCTGATGACCTTGTGAGTCACTGGCCTGGAACAAACATGTAGGATAGGAATGGAAACTTTTAGACTTTCTTTGCTTTCTTTTAGGACATTTGCTAGATAGTGAGGCCAGGATCAAGATTTTTCTTTGCCTTTGCAGGTTTTTCTTAAATATATTAAAGCTGGATTTTGGCCTTGTCACTGAAGGCGATGTTCCTCATCTCAAAATGCTGCCTCTCCCCTACACCACTCCACCCTACACTGGTAATGAATAATCTGAGAAGTCAATATAAGCCTTTATATATTTATACTACCTTTAAATAAAAACTATTCCTTAATATATAACAATTCAAATGGAGAGGGTAGATTAGTGGTTTTCAACTTATGAGCTAAAGGGGGGTTCAGTTTGGCTCCTGACATTACTAAAAGGCTACACAAAATGTTCAATAATATATAATGCTTGATAGGACTGTCAGAAACTGCAGAACTAATAGAGGAAATGAAGGTCAGAGAGTCTTAACATGCTGTATTTTTGGCTTGTGAATGCTGCAAAAGACAACACAAAAACTAAGAAAACATTACATGAGGCTAGTAGTGATCAATGTTATTACCCCAATGTTTCCCCTACAGATTGATGAGATCTGAGAGCCACACACAATGTACCAAGGGCAACATGTGGCCCTCAGGCTGGTCATCAGGGGGAGGTAGATCTTAGGAATGTCCCAGTACGTATATAAAACAAGAAGACTTTTGCATGCTCATCTGCATTCTCATAGTTTTGAGCAAAGGCTCAATGCAAGGCTTGTATGTGCCATGCTTGTGACACTGGCACCAAAAGTCCTATTTAAGCTGGATTGCTGTGTGGTCTTCAGCTAGTTCCTGCTTCACCTGTGCCCTAACCTGCTAGATTTGTCTTCCCATGCATGACCTGACTTGCCTCTAACCTGTCTTTAGATTCCTGCCTACCTGCTGTGACCTCGGCTCGTACCCTTATTATGCTTTTGCTTCATGTTCCTGTGCCTTACTACTGAGGTGTTGATGGGGTTCTACAAATGAGGTGGGTGCACAGGTTGTCAAACTCAGCCTGCCGCTAAAGGACTCTCTGGTCCCATTGTAGTATGGCAAGGAGAAATTTGTAATTAGGTGTTAACTCCTCTTTTAGAGAAACCCCTCCACTGGTGATGTAAAGGGTGGAAATAATGCATGCATAAATGTCAGTGGTGGGTGGAGCTAAGAGTAGATGGGGCATGGGAGGGAGATACCCCAAAGCTGCTGTCTCCTGCAGTACTAATTAAAAAGGCTCTTTGCAGGGGTGAAGTGCCAGGCTTGTTGGCACAGAACATGAATAGCTGTAGTTGCCTTGTCTCGCCTGACCTTCTGAAGGAGCCTTCACCTGGGAGCCTAAAGCCTTGAAGGCGTGGAAGACACTGGTATACTGAGAGCACCATGATCTCTCCTGACCCTCAGCTACAGGTCCTTTAACTTGGTGATGGAAGCTGAAGGCCATTATACACAAGGAAGGGGTTCCAACTCTGGGGTGCTCCCAAGGAGGGGAGCGGAGGTGTAGAGGGAAGATTGCTTAAAAGACATGTGCCTGCGTTTTGCACTAAAATGACTGCTGCAGAACCTTGCACGTGCATTCCATACTGAAGGTTCTGCTAGTATGTCAATGTGATGTCACGGAAGATTCACAGTACAGTGCAGAAGAATATAGCATGCACAGAAGCACATGGCACTGAGACAACCATTTTAGAAGAGGGGCTGGTGGGCAAACTCCATAGAGGTGAGGCTCTTACCACAAATCCCAGATACAAGGGAGAGATGCAGGGGAGCAGAGTGTTGCAGTATTGAGATACAGAGTGTAGGTGATGCACAGGGTGTAGTGATGGAGTATTGGGGATGCAAAGTGTACAGAGTGTTGGAGTACTGGGGTGCAAAATGCTGGCGTATTGAGGTGCAGAGTTCAGGTGAAGCATGAAGTGCAAAGTGCTGGAGTGTTGGAGATATAGGGGATACAGAATGTTGGGAGTATTTGAATACAGGGTGTTCAGATAAATGTGTAAATGGATATACAGAAGGTACAAAGTGCAGGGTAGTGGGGGATTGCATGGGGAGATACTGGGGGCCTTATCAGGTAGGATGTACAAGACAAACAACAAAAGAGAAAGTTCAAACACAACTTGCTAGCCAACCAAAATTAACCTGTAACAGTATGCGTTAACAAGGGGTTTAGATAGCATACATTTGCAAATACATACGCAAGCTACAGAGCCACGTCACTGCACCCAGATATGCTTTAGTCTTAACTCTACAAAATTGTGAGAGCCCCCATAGTATAGGCACATGTATTTAATGAATAGACCAGAGGGAGGTGAACCTGAGGGAGCCCACCAGACACCCAGCATGTAGCACAATAGCAGCTGGGGTGTCCAGTGCGCCTCCACACCAACAATTCAGCAGTTCAAAAAAAAAATAGCCACTGCCCTAGTCTAACTGGCCTTCACAGAAAGGAATACATGGACAGGCGACGCATGTCAAACAAAAGAAAGAGTTCCCAGTTCATTTGCCAGCCAGCTTGCAAACAAACCAAATTAACCTAACAGTATGCGTTTAAACAGGGGTTTAGTTAGCACACATTTGCAAATACATGCATAGGCCACGGCACCCCGATATTCTGTAGTTCCTAATTCTACAATTTATGAGAGCCCCCATAGTAGAGGTACATGTATTTAATGGATAGACCAAGGGCAGGTGAACTTGAGGGAGCCCACCCCTCCTTAAAAAAGGTACAGGAGCACACCAGACACCCAGCATGTAGCACAATGGCAGCCAGGGTGTCCAGTGCACCCCCTCACTAACAATTCAACAGTACAAAAAAATGGCCACCACCCCAGACTATAACTGGCCTTCACAGCAAGAAACACATGGAAGGGCAACACATGTCAAACAACAAAAGAGAAAAAAGTTCCCAGCTCAACTGCAAACAAAACAAATTAACCTGTGTAACAGTATGCAATAAAAACAGGGGTTTAGTTAGCACACATTTGCAAATACATACATGAGCTACAAAGCCACATCACAGCACCACAATATTGTGTAGTCCTACCTCTACAAATTGTGAGAGTCCCTATAGTAGGGGCACATGTATTTAAAGGATAGACCGAGGCAGGTGGACCCAAGGGAGCCCACCCCTCCTTAAAGGTACAGGAACACACCGGACACTCAGCATGAAGCACAATGGCAGCTAGGGTGTCCAGTGCGCCCCCTCACCAACAAATC